CTATATGCTAAAAATAGGTTTTTCAACTGTTTGTTATAACTTTTGAACCATAGGAGATAGGGACTTCATATTTAGTATGCATACTTCACTAAAAAGATTCTTTCAAACAACACCAAGGTCAATGACCATGTGACCTTGACTGTGACCTTTATACTAAAAATAGCTTTTTCCACTTTATGCCATAACCTTTGAACCATAGGAGATAGGGACTTCATATTTGGTATGCATACTGCACTAATCAAGTTCCTTCAAATGACATCAAGGTCAATGATCTTGTGACCTTGACTGTGACCTATATGCTAAAAATAGCTTTTTCGAACTTTGTTGACGCCGGGTGCATAGTGTTTCACAAACACATCTTGTTACCCCTTGACGTTGATGTTTTACATAATTTTCAAAATATTTAACTCTCCTAAAAGATGATTAGGCTTCTGAGTATTATTAAGGAAGACTTCAAGGAAGACAGGGCTTTTTGCACAAAAAACGTCATTTTTCGACCCACATTTGACCCCCGGGGCAAAATCTAAATTCCAAAACCATACTGCACATCTACATGACCCCACCAACCATCTCCCAAAAGATGATGAGGCTTCTGAGTAAAATGTAAGAGGAGTTCAGGGAAAACAGGGCTCTTTGTATGAAATACGTTATTTTTCGACCCCCATTTGATCCCCTGGGGCAAAATCTTAATTCCGAAACCTTACTGCACATGAACATGACACCACCAACCATCTCCCAAAAGATGATTAAGCTGCTGAGTAAAATGAAAGAGGAGTTCAGAGAAGACAGGTCTTTTAGCATAAAAAACATCATTTTTCGACCCCCATTTGACCCCCCGGGGCAAAATCAAAATTCTGAAACCTTACAGCATATCTACATGACCCCACCAACCATCTCCTACAAGATGATTAGGCTGCTGAGTAAAATGTAAGAGAAGTTCAGGGAAAACAGGGCTTTTTGTATAAAAAACTTTATATTTCGACCCCCATTTGACCCCCCGGGACAAAAGCAAAATTCCGAAACCTTACTGCACATCTACCTGACACCACCAACCATCCCCTAAAAGGTGATTAGGCTGCTGAGTAAAATGTAGAAGAAGTTCAGGGAAGATGGGACTTTTTGCACAAAAAACGTCATTTTTCGACCCCCATTTGACCCCCCGGGGCAAAATCAAAATTCCGAAACCTTACTGCACATCTACATGTCACCACTTATCATCCCACAAAAGATGATTAGGCTGCTAAGTAAAATGTATTAGGAGTTCAGGGAAGATGGGACTTTTTGCACAAAAAACGTCATTTTTCGACCCCCATTTGACCCCCCGGGGCAAAATCAAAATTCCGAAACCTTACTGCACATCTACATGACACCACTAATCATCCCACAAAAGATGATTAGGCTGCAAAGTAAAATGAAAGACGAGTTCAGGGAAGATGGGCCTTTTTGCATAAAAAAACGTCATTTTTTGACCCCCATTTGACCCCCCCGGGGAAAAATCAAAATTCTGAAACCTTACTGCACATCAACATGACACCACCAATCATCCCCCAAAAGGTAATTAGGCTGCTGAGTAAAATGTAGAAGGAGTTCAGGGAAGACGGGACTTTTTGCACAAAAAACGTCATTTTTCGACCCCAATTTGACCCCCGGGGCAAAATCAAAATTCCGAAACCTTACTGCACATCTACATGACACCACTAATCATCCCACAAAAGATGATGAGGCTGCTAAGTAAAATGTAAGAGGAGTTCAGGGAAGATGGGGCTTTTTGCATAAAAAACGTCATTTTTCGACCCCCATTTGATCCCCGGGGCAAAATCAAAATTCCGAAACCTTACTGCACATCTACATGACACCACCAATCATCCCCCAAAAGGTGATTTAGCTGCTGAGTAAAATGTAGAAGGAGTTCAGGGAAGACGGGACTTTTTGCACAAAAAACGTCATTTTTCGACCCCCATTTGACCCCCCGGGGCAAAATCAAAATTCTGAAACCTTACTGCACATCTACATGACACCACCAATCATCCCCCAAAAGGTGATTTGGCTGCTGAGTAAAATGTAGAAGGAGTTCAGGGAAGACGGGACTTTTTGCACAAAAAACGTCATTTTTCGACCCCCATTTGACCCCCCGGGGCAAAATCAAAATTCTGAAACCTTACTGCACATCTACATGACACCACCAACCATCTCTTAAAAGATGATTAAGCTACTGTGTAAAATGTAGGAGGAGTTCAGGGAAGAAAAGTGTGACAGACGGACGGACGGACGGACGGACATGAGTAACAACAATATACCCGAACTTTCTTTAGAAAGTGCGGGTATAATTAACCTAATAAATCGACGTTTCATAGCTTTGTTCGGTATCGAAACCAGTATCATGATTTAACAGTAACACTGTGCTTTTTATTCGTCCAAAATTATTCAAGTCGTTAAGCTGGTATCCAGCCGAATTACATAATCATTCAACTTACAATCGGAAACTCTGTGAAGCACCTGTGTGTAGAAGAAATCGTCTGAGGCGATCCGATTGTGTACGGTAGCGGGTAAAGAAGACAATAGGTGTCACTGCTTTATTATACAGAAGAACACTCGCCGGTTTTCACTGGTAGTTAGTTACGCAAAATTACGGCGACAGGTAGACTCTTCTTCAAGACAGTTTGAATTTGAGAAATTCAACACCAACACAAACGTTATATAAATACGCAAGCTAAAATCCTTCAACCTTTTCTTAGATTAAATAAATAATTTTTTTAATATACCGACGTAAGATAACGATTAATGAAAAAGAAGATTGATGTAAAAACCAACCGGGGAAAGGCACAGTTTAAAGATTTAAGCAAACATAAATATATGAGAAGGGGTACATTACATCCAAAATTTTGTAAAATTACTGGTACCTACATGTAATATTTTTTGTTCAGTCGTGTTAGTGTATGTGTGGGACAGTGGAGTGAGGAATTTGTTTGATTATCAAATCAAATAAAAATAGTTCATAGTATATTTCCTTAACTTTTTATCAGTTATTAAGAATAATTAAAAATCAAACACAATTTATATGCAGCAGTATTATGACAGTAAAATAAAATATCAACCGGAGTTTAGCTATATTTTAAACTTTGCCTGGGTCGATATTGATTTTTTGGAATGAGAGAGAGAAAGAGAGAGAGAGATGAATGGTAACTCATCACGGAAGACAGTGGGCACCTACAGTTAGCGAATAATCTTAATCTTATGAAAAGGAAAGATGTTAATGAAAGTTAACCTGAAACAAATAAATAATGATTACGGGTATAAATTGATGAAATGGACAAAGAAATTTACATCATTCAAAAAACTTACACATTTTCATAAATCATATTGAAGTACCGGTATACTAGATTTTTGTTTTCATGTAACGTGTGTGCAGAGGGGGGGGGGGGGGGGGGGGGGGGCTTATACAGGTATGCTACAGGGTTCGAAATAAATATTTGTGACGGACTAATGACTTTCAATTTTCACTACTTCGTAAATTTTTTACTAGACAAGTCTGCCTTCTGCTTTATTATTATGTTAACATCATATAACACCCCCCTACGCCTACCTACTTTTATGAGATAAAATTTAATTTCAGCACATAAAATTAATTCCAATTCACCAATAGCTACAAGGAAAAAAATGGAAGGTATGAAACATGTAATATTTTTGTTAAAATTGAATTATGAGTAAAAAATACTTAAAGATTAAGTTTAAAAAATAGATAGTGATCTAACCCCCTCGGCAATGTGAATAAACGGAGCACTTGTCAAGTATTTAAGTAACTTAAAGTGTCAATACTGTTTGTATCTTTAAGAGAGAGAAAGAGGGATGGAGGGAGGGAGAGAAGAAAAATATTTGAGAATGGTGCTTTTGCTAATATTAGTCTTACCGCTGACCTAATAAATATAAATATTTTCCGTAAGATTACTATAATTGCTAGTACATGAATTTTTAATGTTAGTCTGTTAATTATTTATTAGTCTCGGACTTACAGACATTGGGTACTTATAAACCCTGCGTAATCGATCAACCAACCATACATTTAGATATAATGTTTTAAGTGACAAAATAAACAGCGCATAGTACAAGTTTATAAATGGTACACTGTACTGTTCAATAGGGGATCTCCCGTATGAGCAAATGAAACCGGAAATCGTAAACAGGGGTATATAATTATATGACTTGTACAGATGTCAGAGAACATTAGGAAACTGAATAACCTATCAGTAATTATTCAATATTTAGAAGTTTTCCTTTTTTAACAAGAAACATCTGCCCTGTTTGTGAAAAGAAAATTGATACAACTTTTCGATCGTGAAAACAGGGGGGGGGGGGACTTTACATTAAGGTCAGATATCTGTCTGCAAAGAAATAAATAGATAAAAACTAACTTGATGATTAATTAATTTTAATTCTTTAATTGAACAGGGATAGATATATTCAACACATAAATTTAAACTTGGATTTACTCATAGTTAATTTCAAATCATATTCTGAATTATTTTACAGATATCAGTAATATTTAGATTTAAAAAATTGATAACTGCCCGGGATTTTTTTTTCATCAAAAATTTAAATAAGACTGTTTTTAAATGCAAAGTATACCACACAGTCATTTTCACACTACTGCAGCCTCCCCGAGAGCGAGAACAATAGGGACAGTAATTATCAGTAAATGTCAGCACTTGTCTAAGTTTTTCAGCAGGGACAGTAAACGGGTCAGTAATTGTCTAAGTTTTTCAGCACCGACTAAGATTGTCAGCACTTATCTAAGTTTATCAGCACCGGCAGTAAAAAGGTCAGTAATTGTCTAAGTTTTACAGTAACGACAGCACATTGTCAGTAATTTTCTAAGTTTGTCAGTAAAAAATGGGAATGTCAGTACGTTTTTGACATAGTAGTGTGTTGTACACTGTATTCATAACAAAATTTTGAGCTGCCCTGAGAATTATTATTTACTGATTGAGTATTTGGGGTTATGTAAAGAAGTCAAAGCTCTGGGTCGATTTTGTCCCAGGAAATACTGTTATCTTTGGCTCTTTTTAGTCTAAATTGTCGGTCATATTCTTTCCATTCTAATCCACCAGAAACTCGACTGGCACCGAGTTTGACATTAGCCATATATATGATAAGGCTGTGAGTTTGATCAATATGTGCTGACAAATATATACTCATATAAATAAAAAATGCATCCAACCAAGTATCAATTGTTGTAATTTTGATTGTATTTGCAGGTTTTAATGTGAGTTGACCATTTGAAAATAGAACTCTACTCTCCAATGCTTCAATATCTGTTTGCTTATTTAAAAGTGTATGCAATTCTACAAACTCCCCTTTCATGATTTTTTGTTTAACTGACGGTGTAACATGCATACCTAGATAATCATTTACACTGGTTATGCTCTGAGGCATTGAACATGAAGGAGAAAAGGTGTCAAAACAAATGACTTGATCTGAATTAGATAAATTTTGAACATTGTCAGTTGATGTACTAGAAGAGACTTTGCTACCTTCAGTCGATGGTGTGTCAAGGTGTTGAGATATAATCGTCTCTATCCTCTTGTTGATTTCCGGTAGCATTTTCTCCGCTACTGAAGAAACGACTTCCTCAAGGTCTGGCATTGCCTCCTTGTTTGTTCCGGGATCCGTGTATTGAGGTGGCTCTGAGTTCTTTACTCTCTGGCATCTTTTCTTTACGCCCGGAAGTCTGGCCTTCCCTGCGAATTTCCTTTTCCAATTCGTTGCCGTTGGCCTCCCTCCTTCGTCAATCGAGTGCGACTTTTGTCGTGGTTGCATCTCTCAAAATACGATATATAAATATGTTTTAACACTGATGTATAAAACAAATTGAATATGATCCCAAAAGCAGTTATTAAGAAAACAATATTGACGATACAAAACTTGTCAGAAGGACTAAAGTATGTTTAAATTAGAAAATATTACAATAACAACACGAATTCTTTTGATTAATAAATACTTAACCCTTTGCCTAATAAATGAAAAATAAACCAATGGATTAAATGGCGAAAATTAGCAGTTATATCAAATTTTTAAGCTAAGAGACAAACTACACCCACCTCTCAAATATTGGGATCAAAGATTAACAGCAATAGCGTCATCTATAGCAGGGCATTACGCGCACAAATCCACTGCGCAGATCTGAGATATAGTAGTAACCATCGCTATGATAATTGGATTTATTTCGTAAAGGAGATAAATCTTATTATTTATGCTCATTAAAATTAATCATCGTTTATGGTCCATTAAAATCTACATCGCCACGTGTTCGAGGTTCACATGCTATTGGAGCCAGTTAAATTGGAATTTCTGCTAAGATATGTGTGAGCTTACAAAGTGAAAAGTATTTTGAAGACAGTCTTAATTTTCAGCCCATAGGTTAAAGCAGCATTTTCCATTTTTAAATAACTTTGAATACCCGTATAGATTCACATTTTACACGTTGATAGATATGTAAAAGTTTGATGATATATTTTATTTATCTGGATCATTTTATTAAGGCCTAAAACAAAGTAGTGATG